GGCAAAAGTCAGTTCCAAATTAGGTTTCGACTTAAGATGCCGTTTTCAGGAACTGTGTCGTAAGTCCGAGGACTGCCTGTAATTTATACTTTGTATCTGATATTCTGTTAGGGCTGATGTATGAGACCCCATTTCTTTCAAATCACTTGGCTTGACATGAAGTGAATGGAAGTTTCATATGCTAAAGGGTTTGTTTGTTTTTTGTAAGATCAGACCTTTAATTTGGGACTCACCTCCTAATACCCCAGAAACTTTCATAAAAAACGGAACACCCTACTTTCACTATTTGCAATTCTGAAGCTTTCCTCTCATACAAATTATTGTAGTGTGAACAAACAGTAAGCTCAACATTATAAAAAATAAAGACGACAACATTACCTCTTCCCCCCAGGATTATATATTCTAATTACACAAACAGTAAGAAAACAAGATAAAACACATCAAATAAATCAATGGAAAAATACTAGCATTACTGGCTCCTATTTAACCAAATGTTTTGTTGGCGATTTAACCCTAGTATTTTAAACAGCATTTTAAGGAAGTGCAGTCACCTGATGCACCAGGAAAAGAGGTGTAATGCATAAGAACAAATGAAAGCAATAGTTGCAGGAAGACACAAAGTGAGCAGTTAGATGGGTTGCTTCGACAGAACACAGATATCAAGAAAGTGTTTACCAATGAATGGCAAAGAAGTTTAAGCAGAAACAGGTTCATACAGAACCTTAAGATGTACCTGAAGCAAGAAAAAGGTTGAAGTGTCTTTGTAGCAGATAACAGCTACGTTTGAAAGTGGTCATCTATTTTTCAACTGACTCCAAAAAAGCATTATTTAAAGTATGTAATACAATGATTCTTCTGGATTATGGATGCAAAACAGAACTAAACATTCAAAAAAATACTAGATTTTTATTCCCTACTTACTAAAATGGAAAACATTCATCCCTCTAGGCTTAGGTACAATGTAGAAGAACAATAATAAAATACTGTTTTTAAGCCTTGACTATTACTGCTATCTCATCACCATCATCCCTCCATCAGTCTCTTCTTTTCCATTCACTGACACCAAGGTTTCTCCATCTGTTCTCAATATCCACCTATGCCCACTCCAGTAGGACCCATGCTTGCACATACCACAATTCCTCTTGCATCCCTTCCTTCAACTCATTCATCAAAAGGCTCCTTGTGTTTGCAATATGAGCACACCTGTCACAATATTTAAAAAAAACTCCATTTTATGTTCCATCCCTCTTCCCCTAGCACTGTTCACTCGCAATTTCCTTCATCTTTACACTCACTAAATGTGCTGCCTACAGATGTTACCCTCTTTCTCTTAACTAAATTCTGGATTCCCTTCAATTTGGATAATCTTTTTGTCTCCTTGGAAAC